AGTTATCATATTTTAATTTTATTGTATATTTTAGTTGCTGTCATGGGGAAGAACCGACCCTCGTTCACCTAATGAACACGATATTTGATCTCAATTCTTCGATACAACCACTCGAGGAATATGTATACATCTTAGAGCATCCAACCATGAATCCACTTGATACAAACGGATGATTTTTAGAAACTGCAAACAGTAGACTAAATGTTGCAGCAACTTTTTCTTTACTCTCACTTTCCTCTCTTTATCTTTATCTTTTCCTTTTTCTCATTTTCTGTCTTCACTGTCTCTTTCAAATTAACTACTTACATATGATTCCAGGACTACATACAAATGTCAAAGTTTAATGGGCTTATAATGATGGTGGGCTTGGTCCACAATGTACCTTTCCTTTTTTTTTTTTGGTAGAACAATGTACCTTTCCTCAACATATGTATAGAAGAAATAAAGTGCAGCCCACAGTTACACTACTCAAATTATTTGATTCGACTGTTAATTATTATCCCATGACAGGAGTATTCAATCAATCAAGTGATAAACCCCCGGTGGAAAGGGACAAAGATGGGGTGTTGTGACTTCAATTCCACTCTAGCTCCTTTTTGGTGGCTTAGATTTTATTAGCAGCTAGCAAGAAGACATGAAGCTAGCTGGTTGGCAACAAAACATGTCCAAATCTTCCAATCTCATTACATCAAACTGTTAATGGCTTGATGAGATGTTGGTATTTGTTTGCATCTGATGAAGTATGCTTTTATCCCTAGCAAACTCATAAAAATATCAAGGCTCTATTTGATTTGGCTATTCCTAATAGGCGATAGCTGTAACTAATTATTGGGTAATAACTAATAGAATAATTAAATTAATTTAAAATTAATTTACAAACTAATATTTTTAAACATCCTAACTAGATGTTTAAGGGGAAAAAAAAGCTAGAAACTGATCAATCAACTAAACCAAATGCACCATATGTTATAGTAACTTGGGAATACATACGTGTCTATGCATTGTCCACTACTTCCAATTATCAACAATCAATTTCTACACATCAATAAAAAAAGAAAAATAATATATATATCTATCTATTTCTAGGTGTAGTTTAGACATAGCAACCCATCTTAGATTACCAAACTATGAGAATTTTCCATTTTAGATAAAATGGGAATATGCATGTCTTCCTTATTTATGCTTTCTAGGCTGTACCAATTGAAGACTATACTTTACCCTTACATTTTAGTATTTTCTCCAAAATCTGCCTTGTCCCTTGTTTTTATAGAGAAAATATAAATTTCTTAAGAAATATTTCAATTGGGTTTCTAGGGTGTTGGGCAAGTTGTGGGATGGGCCTCCTTGCTCCTTAGCCTCTTGGGTTTTTTTCATTTTTGTTGTTCCATCCATTTGTTGGATGATTTTCCATGCTCACGAGTCCCACAAAAATATAGGTCCCCACCCCAGGTTGGGAGTGGGCCTCCAAAATAAAAGGAGCTCTACCTGATAGACTAGGGCCCGAACTTTTCCATTAGTTTCTGAAAACCCATACTTCTGGGTCATAAGGGCTTGATATGACTCAGAAGTCCATGAATATAAATAGCCAGTAATATTGAAACTTTAGCCGTGCTTTTAGGTTATTTACATGAGCAATGCTAGGGGCACTCGCTTTTCGCACTCTCCGGTCAACACTTTCTCTTTTATTGGGCCACGTTATCTTTGGTTCTCGAGAAGTTGCGCTGAAATCTTTTAGAGAAGCTTACGTGGCCCAATGAAAGGGGAAGTGTTGGGCGGGGAGTGCGAAAAGCGAGTGCCCCTGGCATTGCTCTATTTACATTTGAGACTTTATAAAGTCAAGGTTGATGTACATTATTTTCAATGAGTAAGAACTTATTTATTATATTTATATAAAATTTTAATTATTTATTTATTTTTTAATTATTGAGATTTATTTAAATTTATTAAAAATAATTATTTTTTATTCAAAAAATCGTAATTAATTTTAATCAATAAAAATAAAAAAATAAATTATTAAGATTTTATATAAATAGATGTCTCCTTATTTTCAATATATATAAAACGTCAATTTAAGAAACATTCTTTTTTCCTTTTTAATTTGCAAAAATTAAGAAACATTCAATTAACATTATTTTCAAATGATACCATGCTAATAGCGATTAGGAGATTTTAGTTGGGAATCATCTCACCTTGGAAATATTCAATTAATATCAATCTCTTCTTACCCAAATAATAATCGAGATTGAAAACTTTTACTAAAGAAACGACATCAGAGGTTCATGATTTCTTATACTAGCTAGCCTTAGTCATGCTCCATGATTGAAGCAAATGAATTCAGTTCTTTTTCATGACAAACTAAAATAATATAGTTACATTTTTACATAATAGTATATATATATTTACAATGTAATGTATAATTATATAATTAATTTTTTTAATTTAAAATTTTACTTATGATATAATATGTATTTATTTATTTAACAATATATTATAATCATAATTTTATAATCATATATAATATTATAATTATAATATTGATGCATGACAAAATAGCTCTCTCCCCACAATGCCGCAAATTAATTGAGGCAGCGTTTGGACCATGCACGCTGGAGCTGGTAATGATCGAAGGAGAATTTAAGGTGGTGTCCCCATTCTCCTTAACCAATCGCAATCCTTTTCTCACCACACACCAACATTTAAGTTTTCTATTTTGGACTTCTTTCCATTGGACCATTGTCTTTGTCTTCCTTTTTCTTTTTCTTTTCTTTTTCCTTTTTTTTTTATGCTCTAAAATCACTCAAGATACCATGCCCCTACCTCAATTACTCCTCTCAAGTCTCATCCCTTCATCAAATAACCAAGCAATCCCTTAACATCCCTCTGTCCATTGCAAGAAAGATCTTCAATGGAAATTATTCTAGGTCACAATCACCATTATAAAGGATCCAACTTTTTTAGCTGGGTAAATTTTCAAGAATTAGGCCTTAGATAGCAAATTATATTATATTTATCCAAAGACCCCACATCTTAGTCTTGAACATTTATGTTGGGATATATATTAAGAAAGTCTTGGATAGATGGTGTATTTTTGTTGCATTTCTTGTGGACAAGGGTTTGATGAGTTTATATGTTCGTATTTATGATCTTAGCACTTCATTTAATTTTGTTTAAATGATCAATTTACATGTTAAGCCCATTGTTTAGAAAATTAAAAGCTATTAGGTGCTTGCATACGGGGAATGAAGCATGCCGTCTTTTTTTGGTTTCGACAAAGTTATTTTTGAATTAATTTTATATGCACTTTGAAACTAAATTTTATAGAAACAATTTTATAGGAAAAAAAAAAAGGGATTTTGGAAAGGAGTGGATTAGACTCAAATGTGTCGATATTATTATTATTATTATTTTATGTTGGTTACACAACGAAAAATAATTATCTCTTATTTTTTATTTTATCTCACTTTTATGTTATGCAATTTAAATTCAGAGTCTCTTACTTCCAACAAAAAAAAATTACCATTAAATTATTTAGATCGTTGATAACATATTGATATTAATAAAACAACCAAATCGAGCATTTTGGGACGAAGTACACATAACCTTTAGGGATTGGTTATGATTTTTATTTACGGCATATCTTAATATTTTTTTTCCCGAACATGAGATATGAGGAATCACACAAGATTATTAAAGTTTTTTATTTTGTATAGATTATATCAAATTATAAAATAAAATTTATTAAATAAAAAATCATATTTGATATAAAAAAATTTCTTTTTATTTAATAAATTACTTATATAATGGAATTTAAACTGTAGAATATATTTTTATATTATTATTTTATTTTTTCACGTAAGAGCATAAGTCCTCTACCCCAATTTTTTAATAGCTTTTGCAGTCATTATTGTCTTATAATTAATAAACCAAAAGAAATCAATAATTAGTAAATGTCTAAATGAGACCCAAGCCCCACACTCGTCATATGGATTAGTGACTACTGACCATAGTCTTTATGCCTCCAGTCAATCAACAGTTGCCTACTGATTTTATTTCCTTTTAATTACTGCTTTTAGAATGTGGGAGTGACCAGGGTCAAAGCTGCTGAATCCAATTGTCAAAAGCAAAAGCACCCAATTTACTCAACCTACCTAGATTGGTCCAAAACCAAGACCCAGTTAATCCAAAATTTCACTCAACAGGACGTAGGACCGTGGTCCAGTGTTAAAAAGCAGGAGTCTTGGACTCTTGGGAGACACCATATTCAAATCCCTCCATTCCTGTTCAAATGTGTAAATTGTAGTCCAGTTACAGTATCCTTCATCCCTTACTTGAATAAATAGAAACTCTAAATTTGAGTCGTGATGACACTCAATAGGATGGGAGAGGCAAAAATGAAGAGAAAAATGTGCTTTAAAGCCTTTTAAACAATATTTTAAAGTAAAATATCAAATTTAAATATTATAAATAAA